CTTTAGAAACAAGTCTGTAACTCATGTATATTGACAGAATGAGTTTTTGAACTATATTTTCGTGTTTGCTTATGCCAAATAGTATATTTTGTATATATGTGTTGGGAGAGGATAAATCCAAAGTATTTGTAATATTTTTGTGATGTAGTAGAAGAAAGTATGAAACAGTAAAGTCTCTCAAGTTCAAGCATTGGTATTTATATAGCAGAGCTAGTGTCAAGACACTTAAAATCAACTGTGTAGATATTACCCACCTCCGTGAATGAAAATCTATTTCGGGTATATGAGATCTATTTGGGTATGAAATCTATTTCGGGTATGTGGGGGTCTATTTCGGGTATATTATAAGTATATGATTTAATTTTCCAACCATATGGATGTATGACATTCACCATTTGAGATCGTCCAGTCTGAGATAGACAAATCCGAGATATGCAAATCTGAGGCATACGTATTCAGTTAATTATACTACTTTTACGTGAAAAAAGTAAATGAACGTCCATAGATTTATACTGTTAAAACATGGTTGAAACAATGTTGAAGTGTGGTTGGAAAAGCAATAAATTATACAATATATCTTAATATAATCACGGATATATGGTTAATGTATGGTTAAAGTACTGCCGAAGTACTGCCAAAGTACTGTTAAAATACTTAAGATACACTTATGTGTCATAGACACTAGCTCCACTATAAAAGCAACAAAATCTCATCTTCTCGCAGTCTATTCATTATATTCATTGTCGGGATAAATATCATAAAATGGTTGAATGGACCGATACTCAAATACGTATCCTCATCGATGAACGTAGAAATAGAAATGAAGAATATCATAATTTTGGAAGGAATCGAATCGGATTTTTGAATAGCATTGCAACCATAATTAATCAAGAACATAATACGAGCTTTAATGGACACCAATGTAAAGAAAAGTTTATGAATCTTATTCGGGATTACAATGTAAGTATATATTAAGGCTCGAAGAGCCATTGCTTCGCAATAGAATTTTTTCCAATTTTTTTTGCTTATATTTTAGCTATTATGACTAATAATTTATGTCAATTAGTTGATGTGCGATTATATGGCAGGGAATCGAAGAGCATGAAGAAGTCGAATGGGTGCACAATACTTTGATGAGTTTTGTACGCATTTTTGGAAGAGGCCTGAAGATGAATTTGACAGAATCCGTACTATTAATACCACAAACCGTAGGCGAAATAGAGATGTGGGAAATATAACACCAGCACTATCTATTGAGGAAGTTTCATCGATGCTAAATAGGAGTCGCCGTGAATCTCCCACTGGTCAAAGAGATCGATCCGCATCTCCAACCCGAAGAACTCCTAGCAGAAGAGATGAAACCATCAATCGGAATAATGCAAGTAATACAAATAATGTGGATGGAAATTCAACCAATAACACAAATAATACGGGCGGAAATTTAAATAATGCGACATACTCATCTGAGTTAGCAAATATGACCTCAAACCTTAAGATAACTGCATCACGGAATGACAGTGATTTTAGTATGTCCAATGTTGGAGGTAGTCAGCCACTCTCTTATATGGAAACTATAAATGTGGAAAGTTAAATTTCGCTGAAAAAGTAATAAATTTTACCCGAATATTTGGTTATATGTGGATATGTTCAAAAGTTTATATGCACGATAAGAAATTCAGAGTTAATGAAAAATCACGATCATTCTCTTGCGTAACACAGATATTCGATCAACGTAAATTAGATCTTCTGACTAATACCTCGTGATGCGGTGTGAAAAAATTTTTGCGTTCACACATTTACCTGTAATTGACGATGTCTTCCCTGAAATCTCGTTTAGATCTAGCGATCAATTCATACTTTGATAGTACACACATTTTAAATTTGTCATATCTTGGTTTTCTAAAGACTTTGAAACCTTTCTGCGTCTCAAATCCGAACTCAAGTGAGAACCAAAACGCTATATTACGAAAGAAATATTTAGATTTTTTAAGGAACCTTCTTACTGAAGAAGAGAAGCAAGAGATGCAAGATGAGCATATTAAGGAGCGATGTGAACTTGTAGAACTTCTTTTACAACAGGTCTGTCATGTTCTATATTGTATTTTTCTGAACTGTCATAGGCGATGATGTGCAACCAACAGGGGGTGTTGTAGGGGTGTCGTTCCTCTTCAGTTCCTCCTTGCGGTGGGTGTCGTTCCTCGCACTTCGTTCGTCTGTTGCGGGGGTGCTCGTGGGGTGTCGTCCTTACGTGTTCCTCTGTGGCGACAGTTCAATCTCATCGTATTGATCAATTCTAATTTCACGCTATTTGTTAGAAAGAACCTGAAGTAAAGAACTTTTGGAGAATTGTTGAGCTGGAAAGAGAACTAGAAACTGAGTTAGAAAATAAAAAGGTATCTTTGAATAGGATTCGTTCATTGCGTTAATTATATCTGTTCTCACTCGCTAGCTCTCAAGATTGTTGTCAAGCGCAAATCACAAATCGACGGGCTGGAGTTGCTCGATGTCGCTCGTCAGCAACAAAATCACGAACTCGTTGATGAGTTAAATCTACAGATATCGAAAAAACCGCGTTTAATGATACCTAAAGTGATGACAGAGGAAGTAACGAACGATTCGGAAGAGAGTGAGGCAGAATCTATTAATGTGGAACAAAATGATGAAGAAATCAGGATGCTTTCACAGGTATTTTAGCATTCGGTAGTTTTTATTGCTTTTTATATATAATTTTATATAATAGCTATTTTCGCTCTTATTTAATTTCTTAGGATGAGGTTAACATTCGTAATAAATTACTTGCGATTTTGACTTCACAACAAAAAAAAGATAAGAAATCTGGAAAAGATTGTGTATCATCTATATCTCTCAATCATATTATCGATTTATCAAATAATGAAGTGTTCAAACAAGTTAATAGTACATTAAATGAAAGTCAAATTGAATGGCTCAATACGGTTCTCCAACGAAAATCCCGGAAACAAACAGGTGAATTTCAACAGTATATAAGTCAATTCACCGAGGATTTATGTGATAGAATAAACATTCCAATTCTGGTCCGGGAGTCTTTTGTTCCGAAGGGATCATTTAATTCTTATCGTCATGAAGCTCATGATATCGCGCAACAAATTTTAACGCATTTGTAAGTGTTTATTTGGAATACTTGACAATTTACCAACAGATGACTTAACTAATTCTTTTATAAATAGTTCCGTCCGCCTGGAAGCACCAATAAGAGTTGAATCCAATAGCCTTGACCTTGAAAGAACATATGCGATAGACACCACTGTGTACATTTTAAATCGATTATTTAGAATGCATCAAGATGTAGTGGACATCGGATGGTAAGTGTCAATTATAAATTTCGAAGTGTTGAGCTATCTTGCTTGTTAATTCTCTGTTTATTTTGCTTAGGATTGAGTTGACCACTCCCGACACAAAAAAGCACAAGATTGATGGACTTTTCAAAGTGATTAAGGCGACACAAAAAAATCAAGCCATAATAATTGTCGAGTTTTCATTTGGTAGAAGAGCGCCTTTAACAAAAGAAGATGGCGATCAGGTCAAATTATGTCGAAATTCAATGCGAATTTTGAATAAGTTACTACAAGGTGTACCTAAGGACAAAGCGCGTGTTTATCTGGTACAAGCTGTCAGTAAGTATTGTGGTTAGGAGGCAGGTAGTAAAGTCTGATTGTTCATATACATATTGTATTTTCCCATAGATGGCTACATCATTATCAAGTATCTAGTTCGTTCTTTACCATCAATATATATTCTTCAACAATTCGCGTGTATTAAAATACCCGTGTCCTTTGACGATTTTGAACAGTTCGCAAAAGATATGGCGGACTTGATGAGTTGGCAGGTATGGATTGAAAATAAATGTTCATGAACATTCCTATAAAATGTTAACATGAACCGACTTTGTTATTACAGGTTGACGTGTTGTCAACGATTAAAGCAATTAATAAAGAATCAACCGGAGATAACAATATCCATATAACTTCAGTTCAGGATACACCAGCAAAGAAAACGAATAATAAAAATCAACCTTTACCTTCATCACCTAAATCCCCATGTCCCGGATCTCCATCACAGAGCTTGTTTTCATATTTAGAATAGATTTGGAAATGCACATCATATAACAATAACAATAAAAAACAGATCTAATATCAGGTTCAAAAAATGATCGAATATTTTTTCCTGTTAGATGCAAGTGTTAGTGTTTGTATTTAGTTGAGAGGGCGATTTATTATAATGTATTGCAAATAAAGAATTATATATCGATCTGCATTGACATGAATAATTGAGTGTCAAATTGATAAGCACCATAGAGTGGGCAAATGACTCATATAGTAAAATATTAAAGTATTAGCTGGCTAGTTTGTTCATTGCACGACCACAAATTTAATTATTATCTGACCACATTATAGCAATCACGAGTTGCATAGTAATAAGACTTTGTCTCAGTCGCGGTTTTTTATTATACAAAATTCGCGTGTCGCGCAATATTTATTATTCGAATTTGCTACTCTGCAATAAATATAGTTAAATTTTTGTGTAATTCCGCTCATGACATTTTGTCCCGGTTTTTAACGAACTTTTGAATAAATCTATGCCTTATATAAAAAATATTATCGAACATGCAATCCGAATTAGATTTATTGAGACAAGAAAATGCTAAGCTCGTGGCCGAGAATGCTGAGCTTAAGCACGAAAACTCAAAACTAAAACAGATTATAGAAGAAAATGCTGAGTTTAAAGCCAAAATTGTTAAGCTAGAACGAGCCGTTGATAAAATCGAGAAGCGGGACCAAAGTATTAATAATGATTCTCCAACCAGCTCATCATTACCAGTAACTTCCAAATTATCTACTCCACCACTTATCGAGGTTCACTCCGATAAGGAAGACAGCGTCAGCCTGCGAAAAGCTGAGCCCATATCATTAGAAGATAAGGAGATCGATGAATTCCTGGATTCAAAGTATAAAGAAAAGGTTAGTAAAGAGATAATTCAGAGTATTAAAGAAAAGAAACTTCGAACTCAAGACTTAGTTAATCAAGATACTTCGAAGTCGCCCAAGTTATCGTATGATGCAAAAACCACTAGAATTGTTGAGGATCGAAATTCAAGATTCTCATATAACACAAAAAATGAAAACCCAAGTTGTAGCCAAAATATTATTACTGAGTATCAACCGTGCGACCCCGGGTCTCGCCCTCACATACCTAAGACTTCATATGATCCAATGTCTCACATCAATATAACTACGAACGATTCCACGCAAAAAACTTCAATCCAAAAAGATAGCCGGATCGAGATGCAAAAATTTATACAAGAATTATATTTAGAACCCGCCTCAGAGGAATCAATCGAAGTTATTAGTAGAAATAAAGAGCCAGATATACCAGTTCACACTGAAAATGACAAACATATAGGCATCGAATTGGCTCGTTTGTATCAAAAAGCAAGAAAGGCTAAAAAAAATACTGTACATGCTAAACAAGAAGAGATTTTAAGTTGGTATTATTATGCGAAAGGTTTCGAAAAGAGGGTTGATGATATCTTATCTATTTGCCGAAATAATAAAAGAGCAGATAACTTGGCAAGAATTCAAGTTTATGATGAAATCTGGGATTGTCTTTCTGGCGTCTCACGTGAAAATTTCCGCAAGCAAACTCAAAGAGCTTATAAGATTTATAAATTATTTGACGGCATAGGAATAGAAAAGATTAAACGGGTTAAATCTTATAGCGCCAACGGGATATCAAAACTCACTAACCCTCAAATTCAACATATTATAGATTATTTTGCCAATGAATCTTATAAAAAGATTACAATGAAATGTCAACCGCGCGACCCCGGGTCTCACCCTTACATAACTAAATCTTCTAACTCAAATGACTTATCGGAAACTGAGGTACATGTATGTATGCCTACCGAATCCCAGATCACTAAGTCTTCTGACTCAAAAACTAAGAAGGCTTTATTAGAGACCAAGGTAAGTGTACCACCGGGGAATAAGGTAACTAAAATAAATGCACCACCCACACCTCAAGTAAATACACCTGCAAATATATTATCCGCATCTCAACCCAAGAATCCAAAGAATGTTCGTGCTAATTTCCGCAACAAAATATTGGAGCGATATCCTGACCTATATTATGAATGCAGTAGTGAAAATTTTGATTATTACGGAATTACTGATAAGACAATATGTCCTTTATGCAAATTAGATCATGATGATGATGGAGATATAGAAGGTAGATATGAAATTGGATCCTATTATATTAAATGCGAACAGCGTGGAATTGAAATTGAGGTAACAGAATGAACTTTATCTTATATTAATACAATTCGCTTAAGTCTTTAAGGTGTCTCTTTGAGGCATATTTATTTTTTGTTGGATATTGTTAATTTAGAGAGACGTGCAATCATATAAAACGGCAACATGAATACACAGACAAAGTCCAATAAAACATTAACTCCCGAATATTTGGAATGGCATAATAAATTTACTGGATTACCAAGTGTTTTAACAGATAAAATTCATTCCAAGTTATATAAAAGATACAAGAAAGAAACCGGTCTTGATCCCTGGATAAACTCTGAAACTTCTGAATCCTCACAAATCGAAAATGCTGATAATAATCTTTCACGAGACTGTATCATTAAGATTTCTAAATTTCTGGAAGAAAAAGATGTGATTATTGAAGCAGTACAGAAAAGATTCCCTTTCTTGAGATATATTAAATCGAATGTATGATACCGGGATGTTTTTAAATACACTGATTCAGAAGCCAAATGTTCGATATGCGAAAAAGTACATACTCGTTTAGGAATATGGGGTGACTGGAGTTGTCTAGGTAAAAATGATCACTATTTTCTTAATTGTCCTTTTTGTATTGATCAAAAGAAAGTTATAATTGCTGTACAGAGTTTGTCAGAAATCCAGGTAAGTATGTCAAGCAAAACTCAATCATCAATTCCAAATAAGATTTATCAGCCAGAGGCTGGCTTACGCCAATATGCCATCAAACATAAAATGGATCCTGAAGAATTTTTGATCATTACTGAAGCTGAGAAAAATAAATGGACTATGGGATGTTTTCCTGCCGATTTGGAAAGAGATATACAATGCTATCGTGGAGGAATAGAAAGGAATGAAGATACCAGAAAATATCATAAATTTTTAACAGATCAGGATAGGCTGATCGGTGAAGAGTTATTACGTCGCAGTATACTAAAGAGTGGTTTAAGTACTGCATGGCTAGACGATCTGATGAAAGAATGGGAAGAAATCCATACTCAATTCGTACAAATTTTTAGCCAGACATAGCGAAATCCAGAGATCTCTTACACATCTCGGATGATGATTATTTATTTAATACAGTAGGCAATTACGTATGTTACATGAACTTCTATGTTGATTCTACTTATGATAATTTCCTGGTTTAACGATTACTTCATTCTAATTGGCTTATTTTTACGATGTTTTCGGATAGAAGAGTCAACCTTTTTCTTTTTAACATGAACATGATTCTTTCGGGGTTTTATCGGACTGAGATCATACCAGTCTGAACCTATGGATTCTGAATCAGAGCTGGATGAATTAGTCTCTGTCTCAGAATTTATCCATGATAGCTTTGCTTTATTTATACAACTTAGTTCATATTCAATAATACAAAGTTTTTCAAAAATTCTATACTCTATATCATTTTCTATA